ACGTAGAATACGTCTTACGTTTCGATATGGAGGCTATGCTTAAATGTTGTAGTTGTGATTTTTAGAGCTTTGCGAAAACGCTTATTGCAAGAGAACTAATGAAGCGATTTCAAAGAAAAGTAGGGCATTTCAAAGATAAAATTCCAAACCTATCGACAGATGTATTTCTGTAAGCAACCAAGTCGGTCTCTGTCGCAGAAACAACGGTAAATATTCGCTTATTTTGGGGTCAATTTTGCGACTTTAAAGTGCTCTAGCAACTTATGATTTGCAGGTTAAACTTTCATTTTCGGGATATAGGTTCTTGGGAGCAATAGAAATATTGTCGCGTACATATTTTATATAAATTCAACAAATATTGAGCATTTTAATGCAAAAAATAGTTGAAAGAATTTTCAAATTTTTTTTTATTTCCAAAATGCTCGAAAACCGCTCGAATGATTTTGTTTTTGTTTTCTTTAATCAAAAATTCAAGATGTTTCCTTCTATTTCGTATGTGGGAAGTATTGGTTGATATCTTCTAAGTATGTTTGTTTGATTCAAATATATGAGCATAAAAAATTTTCCATACAATATCACTTCGTCATCGTTTTGCAAGCTGAGAGAAGGAGAGAAAGAGTATGTATGTGTGTGTAGGTATTTCGGCTTTTGAATAACAGGTGGCGCAATATTTATAAAAGGCAAAGGTGAAGAAGAATATGTAGATGAAGAATATGATAAACATAAAAGTAAAAATGAAGATAAATATAAAGAAAAATATCAGGATGAGGATACCGATAAAAGTAAAGATGAAGATAGAGGAAGAAAGATTAAAATAAAGGTAATTATAGAGAAAAGGATATTGAGAGAGACTCAATCTGGGGACTATTTCAGGATTTTAGAGATTTACGGAATTCTCGGGACTTATCGATATCATGATCGATATTTTATCGGTTTTGTTATCGATGTTTTTTATCGATTTTGTTATTGATTTTGCTATCGATATTTTCGGAACTTATGGATATAATAAACGATATTTTTTGTCGATTTTGTTATCGATATTTTAATCGATTTTGTAATCGATATTTTTATAAATTTTGTAATAGATTTTGTTATCGATATTTTTATTGATTTTGTTATCGATTTTGCTATTGATATTATCAATTTTGGTTTTCGATATTTTTATCGATTTGGTTATCGATGTTTTTATCGATTTTGTTATCGATTTTGCTATCGATATTATTATCGCTTTTGTTATCGATATTTTTTTTTTATTGTGAGCTTTCGTTTTTGACTTGGATGTGCTCTTAGCCATACCACGTATTCTACGTTAAAATTTAGCGGCTGTGTCTCCGCTGTCCCTTTTTTGACATGTATGTGCATGTATGTATTTTGTATTGAATTTTAATTGTATGAAAAAAAATTCAAGGAAAAGGAAAATATATCAACGTTTTTTTTGTTTTAAAAATGTAAAAATTTTCACTGTTGCGCACTCTGGCAGAAGCTTTAAGAAAAACATGAGTCCGGAAATGGGTTCGTCATACCAAAACATCCGTTATAGCATGTGTTTTTATAAAAAATTTAAGCACTTCTTTACGACATTACAGCAATAAATATACTAAAGAAAAGAAAACTTTTGTCGCAATATGAAAAAGTCCAAATTCATTTTAGATCCCTGGTTTCTTCGGCAAATTTGCTAAGAGTTACACGTAGAATCCATCTATGCTGTACACGCTTAGTAAAAGAAATTTACCCGCCCTAATAATAACTCTCTTCACTCAGAAACTGCTGGACGGATTTGGATGAAACATTTCGAATATTTACTTTGGTTTTTTAATAGGGTTGTCACCTTTTTAGAAAGTTAAGTTAAATTTTGGCCTTTTAACACCATGCCGGTTCACTAGTATTCAATTGTAGTTTTTTTTAAGACGGCGCTATTCAAGTGGCCGGCACTGTACATATGTACATAAGTAGCAAGAGATGGAACAATGAATACGCAATGCTTAACAGAATGTTGCTCATACGCCGTGGACGTGTAGCAAAACCTTTCTCAAGGATTAATTGTGATTAATTTCGAACATTTGAGATCGCCTTAATAGATTTTAAAATGCGTCCTTGTAACTGCTTCTGAGTTGCGTAATTTTCCACAAATAATAACAGTAGAAGCTGAGTAAAAATTTGTGAAGTGGACCATCATTGTTTCGACGGTCGAGTGTTGTTTGCGGAATAAATTGTTTATGGTTTACAACGATAAAAAAATACAAACTTCACAATTTTTCGAAATTTGATTTATTTTGGAAATCTATATACGCGAAGGGATTTTTCTTCCAGGATAAAAGATCTGTACCGTTTGCCCGATTTTCTAAAATGAGATGTCAAATTAAAGCGCTTGGTCTGTAGATGTGCAAACTGGTTTTAGTTTTTCGAAAAGAGTTGCCACCTGTTGAAAAGTTAAACTGCCATCAAATCCGCACCGTTCGTTCCGATTTTCAAAAATGAGACGTCAAACTACTTGGACTGTGGATGTGCAATAAGGCTTTACTATTTAGAAAAGAGCTGCCACCTTTTAAAAAATTATATTCAAATTATTTACAAAAATAAATCAATTATTACAAACTGCGTATCAATTGAAATGATTTTGAAAAGCTTTGTTTCTTAGCTGAACCATAGGAGGGTTGCCACCACGCAAATTGGATGAATTATTAAAAGGTGGGTATAAATCGAAATGAGTTTGAAAGGGATTTATTCCTGACCTCTATTTAGGGGGTTGCCATTTGTTCGAACAATCAAATTCGAACTAGTTAAGCAGTTTAGGATTTAAGAAGATTTTAGTTTGAGAAAACGTTTGAAAAGGAATTTCAAAAATGAAAGGTCAAATGAGAGACCTTAGCCCGTGCCGAAAATCAACGGTAGCGTGTAGTCACTTCCTGCTTGCACTTTATTTACTAGAATTGTATGTGCTATACAACCGCATTCTAAAAGTTCTGAATAAAAAGTGTGAAAATTTGGTGGAAATTGGATGAATTTTAAAAAAATTTGCAAAAAGATTGAAACTTGGATTTATACACATAGGTATATGGTTTTTGTTATAGAATTAACTATATTTTTATAAAAATTAATTAACAATAATTAAAAGTAAATAAATAAAACGTCAAAACTTATCAATATGTGGTGACCTTATCATTATGCCATTCACTATAGGTATAGATATTGGGATTTATACATGCATGAATACATATGTACATATATACATACATGCTAGAGATGGGCACGTGACTAAATATTTAATACCGATCCCGCCCATCTCGAAATTGAATATTTAAGTCCTGAACCCACCCATCCCGACGTTTTTCAGCATTGTACTGCGGGTCCCGTGGGTCCCGAAATTTATCTTTATCACTACGAAAAATTCACATGTATTACAAATTAATTAAAAAATTTAAAAAAGAAAAATAATGAAAGTTCAGGCATCTTCTGATTATTTTGTTTTGCTTTGCTGTACGTTTTCGTCTCAATAAAAAAAAGTGCATATTGCACACATCGTTCTCAAGGAAGATTTTCTGAATTTGCGGAGGTTGCGGTTCTATCGAGAGTGTCGGGAACGGATTTTGATCCCGTCCCGCCCGCACAATTTCTACAGACCTTCCCGATACCGCCCATTCCGGCCAACTTGAAATCAATACCGTGGGTACCGCGGGTCCCGATATCCAGCGCCCATCTCTAATACATACATACATATGTCGGCACATGTGCATGTCGAATTTTTGTACATACAATACAAATATATGCATGTATATTTGTTATATTAAGCACATACATACATACCTACATCTGTACATATGTATGTATGTGTAACAATTGTCTTCATTCAGTCCTCCTCTGCTCAAGGTATCGCTTCTGCAATACTCGAAACGTTAAGATTTGTTTTTTTGATTTTTGGTGCTTATCACTGATGATAGGTACAAATGTATGTAGTAAGTGCATGCGTTTGTATGTATGCACATGTGTACGTTTGTTTTTAAAAATTTTTGTTTTTAATTCTTGCAAGTCATAATCATCAGTAAGCTAACCCAAACATAAATAACAATGATTATACATAGTAGTACATACATACATATGTATGATAAGATCGGTACAATTGTATGGTAAGGAAAGTGCTTATGTAGATATATCATATTTAAAATTTGCATGTGTGTTTTTGCGCAACCTGGCATAACCTTACAAACGAACTACAACCATTTTTGGTGGACTTCTTTAAATAATTATTTTTAAATTGACTGGTTGGTCGAAATTCACCACGCTTTTATGTCTCACTTTCGCTGGCGCAGTGGTCCATTATATTTTGATAATTTTTGTAAAATTCCTTTAATTATTAGAATTTCTTATCAGTTATAAATAGCCTGTTTTTAAATGTCATAAACGTGCCTAGGCGACGCCGACTGCGCTGTAGCTAGAAATACATGTAAGTGTTCACACGTATCTGGTTAAAAATTAGTATTCTGTAGGGTATATTATTGCTGTAAGCTGAATAAAAAAATAACCACATAACCAGATAATCATTCAAGTGTGAACACCCACAATGTATTTCTGGATACATATGTGGTATGTACACATAATACTTACAATTTTAGATCGGAGATGAATTAAGTTAAATTGATTTTACATAATCTGTCTTCTTTTATTTTGCTTCACTTAATTTTAATAAAAAAATACGGAGCCGAAGGTGTTACAACACTAGCGCCGAGGCGAATTTATCCAAAGCGGTGCACACTTACAGATTTTGACAACTTACATCGCAAAAGCAAAAACAAAATACATGTAAATTTTTGTTTTTGTACTCCCGCTATCACCTTATATGTATTCGCCCTAACTAGCGCTTCCTAAATCATAGTAAAGTCGTGATTTATTCACTTGTTTTCTCTTAAAAAAAAAAATTAAATTCACCAAACTCAACTCAACAAAGTCTCACACTTAATACACCACACTATTGTGAATTGTATTCCGCTCAAAAAGCAGCACACTCAACTGCAACGCATTGACATTTCCGATTGTCAACTGCGCCACCCAGCAAGAACAACATTTTACACTGTAACAGCGGAAAAACGACCATAATTTGTGAAAATAAGTGGTTTTTTGCCGAATTTTCTACAAAATAGACACACTTAATTAATAAAATTACGTTGTTACAATGTCAGATCTCGACAAGTGGATAGAAACTGTAAAGGAGTGTAAATACTTGCCAGAGAATGACTTAAAGAAACTCTGTGATATCGTATGTGAGATTTTGCTCGAGGAGTCCAATATACAGCCTGTTAGCACGCCTGTCACAGTATGTGGTGACATACATGGACAGTTCTACGATCTGGAAGAACTCTTTCGTACAGGTGGTCAAATACCTGATACCAACTACATCTTCATGGGCGATTTTGTCGACCGTGGCTACTACAGTCTCGAAACACTGACACGTCTGATGACGCTGAAGGTGAGCTCTCTATGACGGGTCTTTGCTAGTGAGCCCATTAAATTTTCTCTTTTTTGTTTTAACATAATGCAGGCGCGGTATCCTGACCGCATAACGCTATTGCGTGGTAATCACGAGTCCCGACAAATTACCAAAGTATATGGGTTTTTTGATGAGTGTTTCACCAAGTATGGAAACGCTAATGCATGGAAGTACTGCTGCAAAGTGTTTGATTTGCTGACAATTGCTGCGGTAATTTATTTATTGTATTTAAACTATTTAACACATTCAAATTCATGCATCTCTATTTCAGATTATCGATGAGGAAGTGCTTTGTGTACATGGTGGTCTCAGTCCGGAAATTATTACACTCGATCAGATACGCACAATAGATCGCAATGGTGAGATTCCTTACAAAGGCGCCTTCTGTGATTTGGTTTGGTCAGATCCAGAGGATATGGATCTATGGTGAGCAGTAGCTGCACAGCTATTATATCAAGCTGGTACCTTAGAAAGTTAAATCCACATTTATTTTAGGGGCCAGAGTCCGCGCGGTGCAGGCTGGCTTTTTGGTCAGCTGGTTACCAAAGACTTTATGAATATCAACAATTTGGAGTTGATTTGTCGTGCGCATCAGCTCGTCAACGAGGGTATTAAATATATGTTCGACAGTAAGCTTGTGACGGTGTGGTCGGCGCCAAATTATTGCTATCGTTGCGGCAATGTGGCAGCTATTTTGAATTTCAAAACCGCCAAAGATCGAACAACTAGTATTTTCAATGCAGTGCCAGAAACAGAGCGCGTTATACCACAGCAAAATACTACACCATATTTTTTGTAAATATGTATGTATGTATGCATATATTATTTTGTTTGTCAACCCCGCCCATGAACGATTGCTCACTGCTGAGTATTATCTGCCTTTAATGTTTAAGCTATGTTCTACATACTTTTCTGCACTCTTTTGATATACTCGATGTACCATAAATTTTTAGTAAAAAGCTTCTGAGAATACCAATATCTTTTATGCGAAAATATTCCATCAAGTGCAAATGAACCGTATAGTTTTGTAATATTCAAAACGATTAGCACAATTGCCATTTTTAATTACAAGGCATCATTTGTTTGTAAATGCATATCATAAGTTGGTTTTTTTATTATTACTACGTAAAAAATACTTTGGTTTTAGATAAAAAAAAAGTTGTATGAAATTTTAGAATGTGTAAAATTTGTTTTAAATATTCGACAACTAATTTCTTAATTTCTCATCATAAATTCGTGTTTACGGCATACACTCGTGTATGCTGCTTAAAACGAATTAGTAAATTATCCGAGGGAATATTTCAATTTCTAATTTTTGTCTAAAATCTGAGCTTTTGCCTGCTTTGAGCCACTGGTTGCACTTTCCCTCAATTCGCCTCCCCTTAATATTAGACCTACATAGGTTTTTCTGTGTATAGAACTCGGTGACTAAATGAAAATATCTGCACAGTTTGCAATTAGCGTAGATAGCATGAAAATCTCTTCCGTTAAATTTGTCATATGCTGTGGAGTAGCAATTAATGTGGGCGCAAATACCGTGGCCAAGTTGTGTTCATTCATTTTGTTGGCCGCGTAATGAGAAGCAACTCTGCAATAAAAAAGGAGTGTAAATAAATTTATGTTTTACAAACTATAACCCCACGCTACCTCTTTAAATGCTCTGCCGTGAATTTCAGGCAACTATAATGAGCTGGCGGCAAGCGCTTGGCCGCTTCATTCATATTTCTTATCTGCTCGACAGTGTTCGGGCTCCCTAAAATAGATATACATATATATATTTTTATAAAACTAGTCCTTTATAGTGTTTTAAGTATTTAATTACTTGCTGCTTGCATAAAGCTCGGATACGCTTGGAATGTGATAAGCGGCACGGGCAGCAGTCGTAAATAGAGCTTCAACGTGCCTGCTATTACATTCACATTGCCATAGGCCGCCTCCGACATATCAGTTTTCTCACCATCGCGATCTAGAGCCAACTTGAGTGCATCTATTTCATCGGCAAATCCGGAGACACGATAAATACCTTCCTGCAGCATGCCACGCGCCTCGACCTCTTCCACACACCGCCGCACCACAAATGGTATACTGCTTTGGTATAGCTGCACCACTGTCGTCAAATCGGTGCCAAATACGCCGCGTATACGCTTCATATCTGGCACACATTTAG